GCCCACCCGGGCGCCCCCTTGGCTGCTCGGCCCCAGGTGTCCTTGATTTCAGCCGCTGCTGAAACTGACCAGCAGCAGCTGAATCAGGGATGCCTGGGCCAGAGCCAGACTATGGGAAGGAGGGTCTGAGGTGGCATCCCTCCCCCCACCCCAGACCCCTCATAGCCCCCCCCTTCTAATAGTCCGGCATATCTGATAAACCGGTACCCCTTGGGTCCTAAAGGTGCTGGATTATTGGAAGTTTACTGTAGTAACTATAGGACAGAGCACCAAGAATGTTTTCATTGGTTTGTTTAGTATTTTGCTTTGATTAGACCTTGACATAATGGAAACAGGCACAAAATAAAGTGCAGGTCTTTTCCCTAAAACTACCTTTCTTTGTTACCCACTGATCCGAAGTATGGCATTTCCCTTTCCTCTGCAATACCACTCCCTCCTGCTGTCAAGTCGTTCTGAGGCTGGATATTTAGTTCGGCAGATTTAAGGCATAATGCTGATGTTTTCCCTTTCTTACTGCCAAAGAGCTAAGATACTCTCAAAAACCAGAATACATACATGCAAAGTATTTTCAGTAACATTCCATTTAAAGCAAATACTAACCCTTCTTAGTTTCACTCATGACATTTATCTCTTCCACTTCCATTTTCTGATCTTCTGAGGCAGTAACATCATCACTGTTACTTTCTTCTTCCTCCTCCCTCTCAGATTCTTCAAGATCGCCCCAGGAATTCTCTATCCCCTCTCCAATTTGGGCTGTCCCAGGCAGCCGCAGTATTGGTTCGGCAAAACTGAGCTAGTTAAGTAAAATCCAGGAATTACCAGAATTCTTATTTGTATTCTCACTGTACAGCATGTTGGAAGAGAAATTATTTGGCAAATTTAAATACCAGATTATTTATGTATATTGGTGAGTTCCAAGGGCTGAACTGAGCATGTGATATAGGAAATTCATTTGAGCTAAATGGCAACTCTGGTCTTGTGAATGGCTGAACAAAGTAAAAATGCCTAATCTATGCATAATGAATGAGAACTGATCACCTTCATAGCCCAAATTGCCATGAAGAGGCTAGCTGGGTTCCTCTTTTGCTGCCTGTGCTGCGAAAATAATATCCCCTCGAAGGGGATCACATTGATGCTGAGTGATACCCTTCTTCTGTATCTGTGAAATAGAAATTAACTTCACATGAAGTTGCACTTGAAAGATCCAGAGGCATTAGGGGAGTAATGGAAAAAGGAGATAATTTACACTCTGCTAATCAACATGCTTTTCTATGAATTCTTCTATCCAGATACATAATTTTATAAATAAAACAAAATCCAGATCATCATAACGTAGCATAAAAACCAGAAAACTCAAGAGGTACTTGTGATTCAAAAAACTTTAACAGTGAAATACCACTGTCTGCTCACAGTAGAAAAGATACACATCTAAAGGAGGATCAGCCTTGGTGATGATTTCTTCAGCTTGCTCTTCCACATCATCAGTATCAACAGGAGCTCTTTCCATTTTAAAGGCTGAAATCTTTTGATTTGGTATAGACTCTGCAAAGCCAAACTTTCCACCTTCTTTCCTATATATTAAACACAAAATTATATTTCAAGCCATTTCATATTTTAAAAATCAAATTAAAGAGTAGCTATATAAAAAGAGATGTGATTTACAACTACACTAAAAAAATAGGTTAGCTGATTAAACTGTGAAATGGAACAATTACAGCAAATTTGTTCCTGAACAGAGATGGTATTGAACTGAGAAGGCCCAAGTTTCCCTTAGTTATCCAAAAATAGCATTTTTCTGAATGTCACTGTTTTGTTTATGACATATTTAGATAATTAAGCTTTTATTTTTCCAGTTTTATTCTCTCCTCTGAAGGTTCTCTCTCCCCCAAGGTAGTTATTTTGAATCCCACACAGAATACTATTGGTTTGAGGCTGTCAATACAATCATCTCTTTCCAGAAAATAGAACTATTAGTTGAGTCTAATCAAACTATGGGTTGGATCTCCCTGGTCCAGTACCCTCAGGACCTGAAGGTATTTTGCTGGACCAGGGGAGGTCATTTCTGCACCGCGCCCCGCCTCCCCCCCCCCCATGCCTGACTGTACTCCTGGCCTGGCCTCCTGGCAGGCTTCCCACATGTAACCAGCCTTGCTGCCCTCCCAGGGCAGCCCACAATCCTGCTGCTGGGGCTCCTGGCCCCACCAGCCCTGCCGCAGCAGCACCAGCCCAGCCAGCCTGCAGTCCCACTGCCAAGATGCCTACCCGCTCCCTTTTTCCCTCTGCAGCAGATTGCTGCTCAGCCATTGGGGTTCTCAACCCAGCCAGCTCTACCAGAGCAGCACTGTGGTCCTGCCACCAGGGTTCCTGGCCCCACCACAGCAGACTGCTGGCATTCTGGCCACCCTGCCACCAGCTCAGCCAGACTTCCACAGCAGGGCTCCCAGCTGCTAGCCTCCGTGCAGCTACCCTAGCTGGGTTCCCAGTCTCCACAGTGTTCTTGCCTCTGGTCCTCCACCATGTCTCTCTAGTCCAGCAACATCCATGGTCCACCAGACCAGGGAGTTATAGTTGAGAGAGGTTAAACCTGTATTAGTTCACCATTTACTGAAAATCAATTAGCTGTACAGCTTCTCCTTCACTGACCCCCTCAAAGCAGGAAAAACAGTACATGAATAACCTAACCCCACAAAAGGTTAGTATTAACTTCCAACATGTTGCATTTTAACAACCTCACCTAACTTTCCGGTCATTCTCCAAGGCCTTTTGAATTA